CCCATATTCATATTTGACTCGTTTAGGCACATGTTTGATACATAGATTGTGGGCTTTATAGTATGATTATTCACAGGCATCAACGGACAATGCAATGTTCAGCCTCATCTGGAACTTTCATGCAGATATTAAGATTCGCAGTTGTTCCATTCTAAAATGCTATCATGGTTTTGCTCATAGAGTGTTCTTTGGTAACTTTATTTCTTTTAAGCTAGGAATTTTATTCCAATTTATTTTTGTATGTAACTATATTCTCGTCTCTGTTAAACTATGGTTGATTGTAGAACTGCATTATGGCTGGAAAGAACTGCAAATTTCTTATTTATAAAAGTTAGCTGACAATTGTTAATGTTGAGTTTGGAATGATGATTCTTCTGTGCTTGTGATAATTGTAATTTACTTAATGCATATTCATCTTCTGAATGACATGTTAGCTTTATATTCTGTTGTATTGTGGTTATTGTAATATATGTAAAAATTTATATGTCTGTCTTCTGAATGAATATAAACTAAGGAATGCAAGAATAATGACATCTACGCTTTTTAGTTTGTACTTACCATGGTAAAGAAGAAATTTTCTTCTAATGTGAATAAGAATCATCATATGTATTTCAATGAAGTTTTCTCTTGACAAGCATTTTGTGAAGTTTTTGAGACGACACAGTTAAAAATTGGGCTGTTCTTAATCACGCAAAGAAGGTTATATGTCATTACATGCGACCAAAGCAACGTGATAATTTTGAGTTTTCTTGGGAAATTATCTAATTGGGAAAATATTCATATACCCAAATATTGTTACTCATATATAAAATCCAAAAATACAACTTGACCCAGAAGATACATTAATAGCCCGTCTGAGCGCAGTACTGTGTTAAGATTAAATTTTGAGCGCACAAACTTATTTCTTAATTTCTCATTTCAACAATTAGGTATTAAAATTTTTCTTTCAAAAATCAGGTGTACCCACCTCATCAACGTGCCCTCACCTTCAATAACCCATACAAAACTAAAATCTGTGACCCTGTTTCTATCACCTCTTTTTGTCTGCACTCTCTCAATTTGTCTGGCCATCACCAACCAACTCAGGCCATCGTCATGGAAGATCAACTGATACCTTTTCCTCTCACATCGATGGTGGATCGATGCACAATCGAATTTCAATCGCAACAGATGAAAAATCCTAACTCAAGTCATGACCAAAATACCAATTGTTGACACACAAAAAGTTCAGCCCAAATCGAATAGTTCAAGGAATGAAGCCCAATTGGAGGATCCTCAAATCAGATAGTCCAAAGAACGGCCCAATCAGGATATTCAGGATAAAGGCCCAAATAGGGAAGCCCGTGAACGTGGTAACACCATCGTCCAAACTTGCAAGTCGCCCAAGATTTGAGCGAATGGATTGCCATGCAGTCGCCCAGAGCTGTGACCCTGTTCTCGCCCAAACCTTCAAGTCCCCTAGGATCTTAGCAAACATAAGATGTTATGGTTACCCAAAAGTGCGGTTAATGAAGTAGTTATTGAGTAACCCTATCATATTCCAGTATTCAAGGAATTCAATTGAAGACGGTTGAACGACAAAAAGTAATGACAGCAGTTAGAGAAGACAGTTCCATAACAAGTTGGTCACTATGAAGAAAGTGAGCAGTTATAGAGCGATCAAGCAGTTTTTAAGCGGTTGATCACGAAGAGATCATCCAGGGAGTACAAAAGGAAGAAAAAACATAGAGCAAAGGACCCCGAATCAAACACTCTCAAACAGAGAATATATAATTTTCAATTTCTTAGTTTAGATTTAAACACTTCTTTTCAGTAACTCGTGTGCTTGCGCCCCTTGGAGGCATTCTGTTTTACTTTCCAATTGTAAAGTTATCGCCAATAAAAACACCCCTTTTTGGGACTTTGTCTCAAGAGGTTTGTCCCTTACACAATCGTTTGATCCCTTTTTAATTGTTAGCGACCAACCCGCGCGAAACAATTTGGCACGCCCGATGGGACAGTGGTGTTTGCTGTTGAAGATACAAAATGTGAAACAATATGCCTCAAAGATCCGATAAGGAAGCAGCAAGTCAGGAAGGAGTTCAGTCTGTGATCAAGCGATATGAGGAGCAACATAGCTCTCCACGAACAGATGGACATAATCAGAGCAGCAACAGTCGTTCCAAATCAATGACAGAGTTGAGTCCTTGAACTATACGTGCACTACTTGGAGAACTCACACAAGATGTCGTTGAAGAGGTAAATCTTCGAAATATTCATAATATGGAAAGATTTACCCAGAATGGGAATGCACATTATGACAACATGACCAAACAACTGAATACTTTGAACGAAATAATGAATAAGTTAGTAGGCCAAATTTGTCAACCAGTTATACCTCTTGCAAACCACTTTCAAACTAGGACAATTGTGGGACATAATCCCCCAATCCTAAATCCAAATCAAGGGGGTAGAACCACCTTTCGGTCCCTCTACTTCAAACCAGGGGATGGTGTAATGCCAAATCAGAATAATGGTAGTGGTATGCCTAACTTGGGGGTAATCCAAATGTAAGAGATAATATCCTAAATAATGGGCAGAATACTTCACGTGTTAATGAGGGAATAAATGTTCAGGCTAATGGTAACAATGGCTCAAATCATGGCAACTTTGTTGCCAATCTAGGACCAAACATCAGGCCTCAAACAAATCAACCGATTAACCAACCTGTAGAAATTCCATATGACCCCAACGTCATGTTGAGGAATCAAATTATAGAAATCGTACAGGATCAGATGACTTTTGGGGTACGTCCTGTCATTAGGCCGACTTACACAAAGCCATATCCTCATTGGGTAGACCAAGTATATCCATGGTCTAGAGGGTATAAAGTGCCAGAATTCTCACTGTTTACCGGTTTAGGGGAGGTGTCTACTCTAGAACACATAGGGCGATTCACACTGCAAAGTGATGACGTAACTGATTATCATAAAATGAGACTTTTTCCTAGTTCATTAATAGGAGTAGCTTTCTCCCGGTTCATCAATTTGCCAGCGAACTCTGTTCAAATATGACAACAATTGGAACAATTATTCCACGCTCAGTTTTATAAGACTGAGTCTAAAGTTACTTTGACCGATTTGACGAATCTACGTCAAATGTCAAACGAATGGGCAGAAGGTTTCCTTCAAAGGTTCAAGACAGCAAGAAGTAAATGTTTTGTACCTTTACCCGAGAAGAGTTTGTCAAAATTGCTCAAAGTTGTTTGAGTTTTGATTTGAAAAAGAAATTCCAAGACAAGGAATTTCCTGACCTTTTCCAATTGAGCGCAAACGTGATTAGGTATGAACGATTGATAAGAGAAGAAGAGCAGATAAAAAATTCTAGCAAGGAAACTTATTATAGAGACCCAAATTTTGATGTTCATACCATCAATAACGAGTCATACGATCAGACCGAAATGTGTTTGGCCGAATTAGTCAAAGGAGACACGTATACTTGTCCTATAATGGCTAAGCCTAGACCATCGGGCAAGGATGAGCCTATGAAAGATGAAAACATAAAAGTTAGAACGTTCTCGTTCGATGTAACCAAAGCTGACCTTATATTTGATAAATTA